CTGTGGTAGTTATAAAGGAGATGCACTGCAGCAGGCTGGAACAATGACACTGCAGTGATTTCCCAGAGGAGGAACATTAAATGGTGGAGTTGCTGGAAAAGTATATTTCTTTTCTGGGTTTAAAGGATCTCAGGTGGAGTTTGAGGGAGGAGCGCCCCCCCCCCAGCTGAGTTCCCTCCAGATGGGACTTCATCTACCGCCATGAATCCTTCCTGCCCAGGTTGTACTCCGCATCCATGAGCCGCCCGGATTAGACGCCGAACCTGAAAGCTTTTCACTTACAGCTGAGTTCGATCCGAATGAAGTCCTTGATGCCCAGGTTTTCCAGAAAGACGCCGGAGGATGAAGTGGTCTTAAAGAGGAAGGAGATGTCGGCGCTCAGCTCTCCGTGGAATGTGGGAAAGTGGAGGTACGACGTCTCCTTGTCAAAAAAGGCAGCATTCCAGACATTTTCTGAAAAAAAGAAACACAATATATTTACAAAGAGTTCAGAGGAGGAAATGAGATGGAAAATTTTGCTTTTGCAATTACTTACTGTCTCCATGGCAACGGAGTGGTCCCACCCTGTAGGCGCCTTCTGAGCCGGGCCTGTGCACATCGCCCAGAACCAGGGATCTGACAGGGAGGGTCTCCTTATGGGTCAACAGGCCCGAGTCATTAGCCCTTGAAGGTAGAGGAAGGTCGAGGAGCAAACAGAAGAGGAATATATCAGGAGGAAAAACACCAGATCACAGGAAGAAAAAAGATGGAGTTTTATCTCGAGACGGACAGAGAGAGAGAGAGAGAGAGCGAGGGAACAGAGAATAATGAAAAGTCTGATTATCGTTGTCATCGATGACATGAGAGGAAGAAAAACAGGAAGAAGTAGGGAAATGAAAATGGAGCAAAAAGGGAAAATGTATCATCATAAATAAAAGTAAACAGAGGATGAATCATTAAAAACGAATGAGATATTGTTCACAGATTAAACCGAGCCTTGTCAACATGATCATTAGTAAACTCTACCTGCCTGTTTGATTCAGTCGTCTACAGTGACCTTATGAATGAAACCAGGCAGGGCTGATATAAATAAGTGAACAGTACCACTCGGTGCGGTCAGCATCACAGTTGCAGCGGTGTTTGGGGTCCACGCAGTTCTGTCGCAGGCTGCAGGAACAGCGCTGGCTGCCCGGCGGCGCTCCGGCCCAGTAGGTTTGTCTCTGACCTTCACCTGGACCTCCCACCCACCAGCTGAGAGGGGAGCCGTCTGGAACACACACACACAGATTTGTGTGTTATTTGTATATTCATAAATCACAATCTGCCTCACAGGGCTGAACATCTGTGAGAAGTTCGCCATCCTCTGTCCTTAACCCTCGACTAGAGTGAGGAGTACAAAAAAAACCTCTTAACATGGGCGAACCCACATGGAGAGTTGAGGGATCCCTCTGCCAGAACACACAGATCTGCAATAGATGCATTTTTTTGACTCAGGCATATTTAGTGGACTAATACGTGAGTGTGTGCAATTTGGTGCAGAAATAAAAATCAGGATGTGGCAGATTTTAATGTGGTTTGGTTGTTAGCAGGATTGTGCAAAAACTACAGAACCAATTTCAATGAGGTTTTATGAGAGAGTGGGTCGTGACCCAATGCTGACGCAGGTCGGGATAAACAAGAGGATCCAGAATCCAACAAGGGAGATGTGCGCTCAGAGCGTCGTTCCATTTATTTCCTCTAACCACCTTTAACCCTAAATGCAAAGCAACAAATCCAAAGCTGGACACTCGTTAATACAATGTTTGCAAGTCAGAGTAGATTATAGATTCATCAACAAACAGCAGCCTCCCTGTATCTTTTCTTTGTTTGTCCATCAACTCCTGACCTGGTGAGTGGAGAAGACGTGACCTCCTGCAGAAGTAGTTCAGCTCCTGCTCGCAGTGCTCCGATTGGCCGATGATGGCCGCCAGCTGCTCGTCTTTGGACGCGTACTCAAAGTGAGTGGAGTGCCGAGTCTTTCCTGACGAAGGTCGAATTCTGGTCAGTTCTGTGTTGTTGTGCTGAATTACCGTCCACGTCACGTCCTCTGGTGGAGACAGAAAGACACAAAGCGTGTATTTCAATATTCTGTGTGTGTCTCACTCAGCAGGACTCACGATTGAAAGAGAGAGAAGGGGGAGAAACTGGACACCAGTGTGTGTTGATGCGTGCGTCAGTCACCTGTCATGTTGCAGTATATAAGCTGTGGTCCGACGGGTCCGCTGCCGTCCACGTCAATGTAATAATACCCCGACGTGTTGCCTTTGTGTTTGTACGCTTCACAGGACTGCTCGTGTATCGCTGAGGAGAGACAGACAAACATCATCATCATCAAATTCTACACTCCTCTTCCTGGAGAGACGGAGACATCACACGGACGAGTGTAACGCTTCAGTGTCGTCTAGGTATAAACTATGCGATACGGCTACTTTATGTAGGAGAAAATACACAAAGCCATTGTTTTTCAGTCAGGATAGAAACAAAGGGTAAAAGATATTTCTCTGCTCTGATCTGAATGACCATTGGATTGTAATAAATCAAATGTTTAATCATTGAAAGTGTGAAAAGTTCATAAAACTAGTTTACTGCTTAAACACAAACAAATCCTGGACCGAACAAGTTTCGAGTGAAGAAGTCGCTCTATTAACTGCTGTGAACCAACGAGCAACATATTGATCTTTCTTGAGCTTTTTTAAATTCACTTGTCTCATGTGTCGTATCGACCGCAGAGTAAAACACTTCATCATCACCTCTGAACACTGAAGCCTTGGAAAAACTTCTTGTGTGTAATTCATCGTTTTGGCAGCAAGAAGAGCACTTTACTGGTTTTATAAAAAATATATTTCCACTAGAGCAGAACTGGACAGTCAAGAGGAAAACACAAACATTTTGCTCTCCTTCTTCACCTTCTCCTCTCTCAGCTCTTCCTCTCATTCCCCTGCTCATCCTCTAAATCCCCCTCCCTCCCTCTGTGTCTCTCTGAGTCTCCTCAGCAGCAGCCACACAATGACGACTGCAGCAAAGAGGTCTGACCCTCTGCTTCGACAGCGTCCACCGGGACCTGACATTAACGCCTCATTAGAGGAAACACCTACATGCACATGCACAGAATCCACAGAGCGTCTCTGATCTCTGAAGAAGAATAATTGCTCTCACAGCTGTGACAGGTTGCTCCGCTGTAGCTGGTGCCGGAGCAGTTGCAGTGAAAGGTGCTCCATGACTGACTGCAGGTGCCTCCGTGTTCACAGTGATTCGGGGAACACCTGAGAGAAGGAGACAGGAAAGAGAGCACAAGTTTCGACTCCGTTACAATAATTTGCTCCAGTGGAAACTCACACTTTTACAGAGTAAAACTCTACAACCGCACAACCGGAGGGAAAGTCTAGAGTGACTGTCATGCGAATGTATGCTTCCGCCCAGCCAGTACAGTTACATGCATATTTATTTTAGATGATTAAGATCTAATCAGTTCATATTTGAGTCTAACTAGTCAAACTATGAAAACATTGGCATGAGGCAAGAAGTGTTGAATGACAAATGAAAATGTTCAGGTAAACGTAGATTTAAAAGTAATAATTGTGTTTTAATAACAGAAACGTCCTCTCAAAGTTTTTTGCTTTACCTCCGATCACTGAAGATAAAAATAAATGTACTCAATGTTAATCCACTGCCCTCAACTATAAACCTTACTTCACTGCACTCAGTATGTAGCTGTGGTCTGTTTATGGCTTTTATAACCTTAATAAAACTCCACCCAGTGAGACTCTATGACTCTTTTGTGTGTTATTTCAACAGTTAAATGGCAGAAAGGCGTTTCACACTTTGACTAGAGAGACTTTCACACTGGATTTTTCCTTTCAAGGACTCTGTTAATAATAATGAAACGATAAAATAGCATCAACTCTTGTACTTAACGGAGTTGAGAAATCATAACTGACCAACTCTAGAGGTTTTTCTCTGCTCAGAAATATTTTGTACTGTTCTGCTCCTGTTAACTCATATTTCTTTTCCTTCAGCCTCGTGTCAGGATGGAGCTGGAGGGGCAAGCAAAACAAGAAAGAGAGGAGGAGGAGGAGGAGGAGGAGGAGGAGGAGGGGAAGACAGAATGATGGAGATACTGTAGAGGGAGAGAGAAATAGAGGAAGGGGAATTGAGGGTGAGAAAGGGAGAGGGTAACCATATTAAGGAGGCTAAACGAGGTCAGCGATATGTGCAGAGAGACGGAAAGAGAGAAGCAGCGCAGCTTGTATGTTTAATCTTGTAGTCGGAGGGGGGG